GTCACATTTCCTCATTCTCCCTCTGTTTCTCCCACGATCCCTTGTTTTTCTTTTAACTGAGAGTCTGCAATGTTCAAGCTTGATTTTTGTATTCTTTTATACAAGGCGATGAAGTATCAATTTTGCACCTCTAGATGCAATCAAAGTTTTTTACTTTTTCTGTATTTTTAAGTTACCATTCAGGGTTGATTAAACAATTGCACTTTTAACGTGCAGATATTTTCAGGTAATGATTTTTTCCATGTTTGGATATGTATAGTTGATTTTTTTGTTATCAGCATTCCATGTTTTTTCTTAATTGCTTTTTTTTTTTTTTCAATTGTGTGTGCTTAAAAGCTTGTTAACCAGAGTGCAACCCTGCACATCTGGCCTTTTGTAGCTGTGAGATCTTTGTAGTCCCGATGCACGCTGCTCCCTCACACACAGGGAGCGCCAAACTCCATTTAGAACTCTAGCAATTTACCATACGCCTTGCTCTGGCGAACACACGTACAATTCTTGAAGAAATTTACTCAAGTGTTTGAATTTGCCACTGGTAAATTCTGCATGCAAACAGCGCCTTCAGTGCTTCAATAAAATGCCAGCATTCAGAATAGGATCACAAAAATTGTACAAAATGATACGAAATGAATGGAAGGCTGCGGTAAAGAGCAGTGTTAACCTAAAGTGTTCATTGAATTGTGATTGGTGGATCATCTATATGCACAACTGAATGATACATTTACCAGATGCCTAAATGATTTGTAAAATGGCTCAATGGGTCAGTAAGTAAACTGTACTCACCAACATAGGCTGATAGAATCAAACACATCCTGTCACCACAGCAGCTGCTGAAGCCACTGTTGAAAAAGTAATATTGCTCCCTAACCCACATCCTAATTTGGATTGTCATTTAGGCTACGTTCACACTGCAAGCCCACCTACCCGTAATAAACCTGAGACACTTCATCATAAACCCTGCTTCATTAAAAAGGATGGCCTATATTAGGCATACCAGTTAATCCTATGACTGTTTGGGAGCAAGTGCTGTCCCTGTATTGTCAAGAAAAACTCCTGGTTTCTTAAAAGGAATGGGAACAGATTTAGAACACACAAATCTAGAGTTAAAAAAAAGTCACATGAAATCTGAAAAATAATCAGACCTGGATATATTTGGACAGTGGCTCAAATCAGAATTGAAATGTGGTTTGTACTGTTCACACTGTGATGAAAAAAACAGATCTGAGTCACACATGAGTAAAATAATTCCGATTTGCACCATTTGTGCCTGCAGTGTGAACATAATCTTGTGTATGCATCAAATTCCTCCCTCCTTGTATCTGTAAAGTCACACCAGGTTGGGAAATTTGCCAAAAAGCAACTAGTATTCCAACTACTAATACAGTAGCTTACCTCAATAGAGAGCAGCAGGCATCGGGACTGTGCTTCTGTTAACTGGAGATCATGCGGTAAGACTTGACTGCTGCTGCAAACAGAAGCACACTTGACTCAGTACTGTAAAGTGAAGCCGGGGAGCATGGTGCTGGGTTCACCTGCAGACAGAAGTACTTGGAACTCGGCTCCGTTTGAAGGTATCCGAGTTGGGCATGCTGTCGACGGGGTCTGGGCGCGTACTCCATTCTACCAGTCACTTCACACTACAAGTAAAAAGCCTTACATTTGTGGACGTTTCACCCAGTCCCGTCGACTACAGCGGGGCTCTCGTAGTCTTCAGGCGGGGGCTGATAACTGCTGCTATTCATCAGAGGAATCAATCAGTCAATCACTGTGACAGCCAGACATTTCGGGGAAACGCGGCAAAACCAAATTCACCCTGACCACTGTCACCCCTGCTTTTCGTCAGCCATGTTGTTCCTGCCCACAGTAGGAGAATAACCTTTTGCCAACACTTGTTGTCTACTGAGCCCCGTGACAGTTTGCTCTCATCCCAGCTCGAACTCCAAAGACACCCGAAGGAACCTCGAAGGGGAAGCAGAATGCTGTGGAAGGAAGTGACGCATGCAAATCACCTCATAGTTGTGGACATTTCAACTTCTATCTGAATCATTTATTCTTTCTCTCCCCTGCAAATGAATGAAAAAAGTAAAGTAAAAGAAGTAAAGTAAGACACTAAAAAAAGAAGTAAAACACTATCACACTGAGTGCTGAACACATTTTCAGAGGATTGCGGTTGAGGGATATTTGCATAGCAACTTGTGGTGGTCGTTGGATTAATCCGTGTATTGCTGTGAAGTGGTCTGTCAGTTGGGTATTAGTGTTTTCTGATTCTAGCTAATGTCGGGCCGATGTTTTTGGATAACGAGCCCTCGATCATCTCTAGTATATTTCCTCTAGCTCCTCTTTTTTGAAGGAAATGAAGAATCCTGCTCTAGTCCTGATTATCGTTTTGATACTGACATTTTTACGAGGTTTTCCAGTCTAAATGTTGATAGATTTACACTGTCTCTGAAGCTGGTTTGTACGATAATCCTCTGTAATAGTATACTTCAATATCTTCTCTATACATATTAGCCCTCACGTGGGGCGGTCTAGTCTCATTGATTTTAACACTGGAAACACAATATGCAAATGAAAGGCAGATGAAGCTTGTAGAATCCGATTTCGGTAATAACTTGTAAAAGTCATGAAAAAGCCTTAAACATGCCGTGAAACAGATTGTCATAAATGTGGTTGTTGCAAGAAAGCAGCACAATGGATGTTTTAATGCTTATAATGGAATAAAGAATGCATGGAAGTGTGTGTCTGACTGTATTGTTTCTCTGGTAGAGAGCTTAAAGGACTGTATTGTTATGTCACTCTTACTAGGCAACTAGGCCTGTTCACCCAAAATACTATTTTATGTATCCATGCAGTCAATTTGGGTTTTTTCTGTACAGTTTTTAGATATTGGTCTCTAAGATTTCTGCCTACCTATTTGGATAGCTAGATACCACTATACTGCCCTAGAGTAACCTAAACCACAGTAACTACAGTTTTGGTCAAACTTGACTGAAACTGAACTTCTAAATGTCTTTTTTTATCTTATTTTCTGAGTTCAGACTTGGTCCGTCTTAGAGAAAATGTAAAAATCGCCCCACTGTTCTGAAAACAAAACAGCCATTTTTTATGAAGTATGTTTGTTTTAGTAGTTGAACACTGAAGTGGCCCTCCTATGAGATTACAATACTAGCAGTGGCCCAAAGATGATGTGGGTTTGAGACCCCTGCCTTAAGGGTAGACTACAGGTGAACTGGATAAAAAATTTTACCTTGGGAAATTTTGGATATCTCTTTTTAGGAATAAAAGGCTCTTTAAATCATACTGTGAATGTTATATGAACAAAGCCCTCTACTGGGAATAGGTTAAAAAAGAGGAAAAATAATATCTCCATTGACTTCACCCAATTGAATTACATTACATTAAGACAACAGTTTTTTGTCTACAGACAACAGACAAAGTGCAGTAAAATAAACCTGATTGTGGTTTGGGCATTTTCTCTTCTAGTATGAAAGAAGAAAAGCAAATCTCAAAGTGCATGAAGGGCATGTTTTGCCTGTGTTTGATCTCGCTAAAAGAATACAGCTTTTTTAACATGTATCAGTGGATATCCACTCGAGCATCTGTGTCTTGTTTTTGTGAAAGTCATTAATTAAATATATAATTTTATTTGTATAGCGCAATTCATACAGTAAGTTTATCTCAGGACACTTTTCAATAGAGCAGGTTAGACGATCCTTATAACATTTAAGAGACCAACAGATACCAACCTATGAGCAAGACCTTGGCGACGGGGGCAAGGAAAAACTGCCTTTTAACAGGCAGAAACCTAGGACAGCCCCGGGCTCTAGGTGGGGGTCATCTGACCCAGTTGGGGAGAGAGAGAGAAGAGAGAGAGAGAGAGAGGACAGGTGCACAGCAACAACAGTAGCAACAACTACACTAATAGTGTAACTGATGATGATGAACATTAATAATACTTATAATGGAATAATGAATAACACTAATATGCAGTGATTTATGCAATGGCAGCGAGCAGGACCAATGGCAGGAGGCGTCCACCAGGGACCATGGAGAGACAGACAGACGAAGACAGACAGAAGAGCAAGACAGACAGAACAGACGACAGACGCACGCAGCAACACAGTAGCAACGACTAGCAGCAGGATACACTAACGAACATGCGAAGAAGAAAGACAGCAGAAACACGATGGGGACGAGCGAGCAGCGATAAACGTAACAACAGTAACCGTAGCAAGAATAATACTAATAATAACAATAATAATAACAACAATAAATTAGGTGATTTTAAGCAATGGTAGTCTAGCAGGACCATGGCAGGAGGACCAACCAGGATCCATGAGAACCTGCAAGACAGAGAAGCACAAGAACGCGGGGAAGAAGTGAGTTAGTAAATGCATTAATGGGGACATGAATGAGTGCAGAAGAAGAGAGAGGAGGAAGAGAGGAGCTCAGTGCATCATGGGAAATCCCCTATAAAAGTGCAAGGCCTATAAGGCAGCATAACTAAGAGAGGTTCAGGGACTCACCTGAGTCCAGCCCTAACTATAACGCTTTAATCCAAGAGAGGAAACGTTCTAAGCCTCACCTCTTAAAGTGTGAGGAGGGTGCGTCTGCCTCCCGAACCACAACTGGAAGCGGTCCGACAGGAGAGGAGGCTTGGTAACTGAA